GTTTTTTCCCCCCCATTGCTTTTGTTTGATAGACCTCGAAAGGCTAGTAACGGGGGGCCCCAAAAGGGCCCGCGGCCCCAGACGACGCTCTCCATAAAACACATAAATTTTTTCCTTTTTCACCCGGCGCTGCGTAGAAGGGGGGGGGGGGTAGGGGGCCCTGGTGAGCTTCACGCGACGGGCCTGTGGTTACGGAAAACCACGCTGGGAGCCAGACAAGTGGGAGTCCCCTGAGCGTGCCCGGCCCAGTTTGCATTGTGTTTTCTGTAACAATGTTTCTGAGGCAGATGTTATCCTCATCTTCCAGGTGAGGAGGTGGAAGCGCGGAGAGCTGCAGATCTTTGCCCCAAGTCACAGTGTCAGGAAGTCTGGCTTTAGATTCTGTACCTTTCTGCCTTCCAACAGTCACCACGTATATAACCAGCACTCCATAGAGTGGGGACTTTGACCCTTGATGAAGAAGCTATAATCTGGGCATAAAAACTCCTGCCCTTCAAGCGGCTGAGATGTGAGAGGAGTTCTTACCCCGCTCATTGAAATCACCATTTGCTATTTTGGCCTCGTCTGTGAAGTGAGCCTTGGGTCCTAGGTCTGGTGCCTGGATAGGAGGCGCCCTGGGGGATAAGGTGTAACGGAGACAATGAACAGTGGTTGCTTGGGGTGGGGAGACGGGAAGTTCGGGGTGACTAAGCCCTCCTCTGTCTTCAACAGGTCCTGGTGCTTGATGGCCGAGGCCATCTCCTGGGCCGCCTGGCGGCCATCGTGGCCAAGCAGGTACTGCTGGGTAAGTCTGCCCTGTGCCCACAGCCCTCCAGACCTGAGGTCAGACCGGCAGTCCGTGATGAGGAGCAATCACCATCTTTCGTTTGAGTCTCACGACCATGAGATCAACCCCATGCACCGCTCTGAGACCTGCCAGCCACTCCCTCCCCTGGAGGTGGGGGCTCTGGGGTTAACATTTTCTGTTGGGCAAATTCATTTAACCGTGAATGTAGCTCTGCCAGTTACTGCTCTGTGACTGGGGCCAGGGGTTCCCTTGCTGGGCCCTTGGCTGTCTTGCCCTTGTGGTCCAGTCCTGACCTGGGAGGATCGCCCTTTGGTTCCTCAGCAGTAACTGGGCAGGGGGTGGCTGCTTGGCCTGAGCCCCCCGCGAGTGCCTCACTGTCCTCCTCTCTAGGCCGCAAGGTGGTGGTTGTGCGCTGTGAGGGCATCAACATTTCTGGCAATTTCTACAGAAACAAGTGTAAGTTGTGGCATGGGAGAAGGACGAGAGAGGGTTGATGTGTGAGGTGCTCAGACTCCATAGACCCTGAAAGCGATCCCCCCAGTGGTTGGGGGGGGCTGGTTTGAGTTCCAGAATAGGCCCTTGGAAGTGGGTGTGGGAAGAAGCTGGTGTTTCCCTGGGGACTATACAGCCTCACGCTCTCCCCTCTCAGTGAAGTACCTGGCCTTCCTGCGCAAACGGATGAACACCAACCCGTCCCGCGGCCCTTACCACTTCCGAGCCCCCAGCCGCATCTTTTGGCGGACGGTGCGAGGTGAGCTGGGCCTGAGGACCGACCGCAGGTGGGGATGGGGCGGGTGGCCCGTGATGAGGACTTCTCCCACTCAAGTTCGAGTTTCCCAACCATGAGATGACTCCACATGCACTACCATCTGAGGCCACCGGTCTGCCTGCCTGGTGATGGGGTCTTGGCGAGCCCCTCTGAGCAGGGTTGCTGTCCCTCTGCCCGCAGGCATGCTGCCCCACAAGACCAAGCGAGGCCAGGCCGCCTTGGACCGCCTCAAGGTGTTTGACGGGATCCCACCGCCCTATGACAAGGTAAGCGAGACCGGGCCGTCCCAGGATCCCTGTGTCTGGCGTGTCCGTGATGATCCACGATTACCTACATTGTTTGAACCTCATGAGAACAGCACTGGCTGAGACACCGGCCCCAGCCAGCCTTCTTCCCTGTCTGTCCCTCACTCCAGGTCCCTAAGCCCCTCTCCTTCTCTAACAGAAAAAGCGAATGGTGGTTCCCGCCGCCCTCAAGGTTGTGCGTCTGAAGCCTACCCGGAAGGTGAGTTCCGGGTTACGTGGAGCAGACTGACATGGGGGGCTGAACGTGGTGTCCCCGAGACTGGCAGATGATGGTTTTTTCTCACGATGGTCTGCGGATGCCACCTGGGCACTGCCGAAAATGCCAATGGCTTAGCTGATGCCAGGAGGAGCAGGGAGCCCCTTACACGGGGGGCGGGGGGGGTGTCTTCTGCTTTAAAATTGGATCCTTTGAGAAGTCTTCCGCTCCCCAATCTAGGCTCCCATTTATTTACAATTTCATTTCCCCCCACCCCAGTTTGCCTACCTTGGGCGCCTGGCTCATGAGGTTGGCTGGAAGTACCAGGCCGTCACAGCCACCCTGGAGGAGAAGAGGAAGGAGAAGGCCAAGATGCATTACCGCAAGAAAAAGCAGCTCATGGTGAGGGCAGGGGCACCGCACACCTGGGCAGTGGGACCTGGGTCCCTGGGAAGGGGTGGTCACAGGCAGCAGCCACTGACCACAGCCTGTTCTAACCCCACAGAGGCTACGGAAACAGGCCGAAAAGAACGTGGAGACGAAAATTAACAAATTCACAGAGGTCCTCAAGACCCATGGACTCCTGGTCTGAGCCCAATAAAATTGACTGTTATTCCTCATGCTTGGCCTGGCCTGCCCTTCCTCCATCGCCGCCCTAGGATGTGGGGAACCCCAGGGGCTGTTCCGGGGCCACAGGCACCTTACCTTGGGCCTTAGAAGGCTGGGGACACAGAAGGGACCTTAGCCACTGCTATTTAAGAAAGGCCTTTTAAAAGCTTGGCATGGCCCTGTCAGTTGGGCATAATTTGCCTGTGACCTACTCAGAGTTTTAGGAAATGAGCAGCTGGAACAGCTGGTTCCCTTTCAGGATTTATAAGCTGGAAAACTCTCTAAACTTCCCACATGATACTAGACCGCAGCTGTTAGGATGTAGCAAATGCTTGGGGGCAGGTGGACCTGGTGTTGTACAGAGGGATTTACAGATGCAGACAGGACGGCAGCCAGCTTCAGGCATCGCACTTGCACGTTCCTGTACCTTGTGATCAGAAAATGAATAAATTATTTTTAAAGAAATTTGGCGTCTTTGCCGTGTGTGTCTGCAACGGAGGCAGGCCCTTGGGGGCTGGCCACAGATAAATGGCTAAATTCCTAACCCGTTAGTGCATGGGAGAATTAACCTTTAGAGGTCAACCTGCCAACAATTTACTCAAACCATTGTCTGGTGCCTGGTGCCCCAATTGACAGAGCCGTCTACACTCTTCAGCTGCAGGGTGTGGAACTGCCCCGTTTTAGAGCCACCCCCTTTGTGGGACGAGGGCTACTTCACTCGGGTCATCTGCCACACTTGCTTTGGGGGAAGAAATGGGCAAGAAACATTTTGCATGTGTGGGGTGTTTACAATGGAAGTAGGCATGTTAGATCTGCCTGGGTGCGGACCTGAAAGGGTAGATGAACAGGTGGAAGCCCTCAGGTCACCTTTGATCACCTCCATCAGGCCCGTCTCCCTTTCACTGATGAGGTTTAGGAGGAGTCACCTGATCCAGAGCCAAACCCAGAATTCCACACAAGCCCTCGGGTTTGATGAAGGCAAATCTGTCCTGGAAAAGAAGCTGAATTCATGCAGCTCTTGGGATTGGTGTGCAATATTTAGAAATAATTTCCTAATTCAATTCAGCATTCAAATGCCCAACCTCGGCACAAAGGGAGCTAGTGGAGGATAGTTCCCAGGCAAATCACAACTTGAACACCCTGCCATTCTATCTTGCATCATCTCCAAAACATCCAAGATCTCAATGGCTTAGGTTTTCTCGATCTAACATGGGTGATGACACCTCCCCTCCTTGGTTCCTGGGATCTGCCTCCAAAAGCAACTGTAGCTTAATTCTGAAATCTGACAAAACTCTTACAGCAGCACAATCCCACTGAAATCACAATCCATTAAAAACACTTTTTTTTTACTTTATTTTTTAAAATATGTATTTTATTGATTTTTTTTACAGATAGGAAGGGAGAGGGATAGTTAGAAACATTGAGAGAGAAACATCAAATAGCTGCCTCCTGCACACTCCCTACTGGGGATGTGCCCGCAACCAAGGCACATGCCCTTGACCAGAATCGAGCCTGGGACCCTTCAGTCTGCAGGCTGAAGCTCTAGCCACTGAGCCAAACCAGTCAGGGCACCACTTTCCACTTCAGAAGACACCGATAAGATGACAAGCCACAGACAGAAAATACTTGCAAATCTCTTTGAAGGACTTACATTCCAAGTATATATATTTAAAAACCTCTTATAATGAGACAAACCAAATGAAAACTAGGCAAAGAATTGAATAGACATTTCACCAAAGAAGATATATATACAAATGGCCAATAAGCACCTGAGAATAGACTTAACATTCAACATTAGAGAATGAAAATAAAATCTCTGGGTGGACAATCATGTAGCACAAATTCGAGGAATCAAAGCTCCAGTTCCGTCTTGCCCAACTACCCACCACCAAAGCATGTGGGCACGCCTGTCCAGTCCACGGGGGTGCCATAGGGAGGGTCTTGGGGTTTTTTTGTTTTTTTAAATAATGATTTCAGAGAGGGAGAGAGAAACATCAATGCCTCCTGCACGCTCCCCCCTCCAACCAGGGATTGAGCCCGCAACCCGGGCATATGCCCATTACCAGAATCAAACCCAGGCCCTTCAGTCCACAGGCCCATGCACTATCCACTGAGCCAAACCCGCTAGGGCAGGAAGGTCTTGTTTTAATAGGCATTTCTGTGCTCAGTGGGGGATGGCTCCAGATCAAATAGTATTTGCATTTTTGTTATGAAATGCTGGGAAACAGTGTGTGAAATCTGACAGCGTTGGGCTGAAAGTTTATTATTGGACACCAAAGCTGTTTACGATGCAGGTGAAAAATCAACCCAGCCATAAAATAGATAAGTGAAATACAAATGAAAACGGGGGGCGGGGGAAGGGGGGGGCAATGTATTGCAGGAAGGAAAGGAAAGAGTTAAAAGTTAGACGGGGAAAGGAGAGAAGCTGTTTGATGAGACTGTACATGCTGTTTCCTATTGTGGGTTGTGCTCAAAACGCTGAAAAGCTAAGGACCCAGCACCGTTGCAGAGTGAAGCAGTATTTCTTCTCTCTGCTTTCCCCTTATCACCAAGATCTCCCCAGCCACCCTGAACACCTTGCAAAATATTGAGCATTTTAAACACCAGAGAGGAAATCACACCTAATCGCACCGCCTGGCGATGTAAACCGCTGGGCACGCGTTGTTAGCTTTTTTCTAAGTAACGTTTATACAGGTTAACACGCATTGTTGATAACGGTGGGCCCTGCCTTTAAAAGAAACTATTATCATAAGTACTTTCCAAGTCGTTCAAAGTTCCAGGAACTACGTTTTTTTTTTTTCTACAAAGAAAAATTATAAAGATAACACAGGAGCTCTAAAACAGAAAGTCCCCGTTAATGCTATCCCCAAAAGGACAACCACCACCAATTAAATGTATCATTGAAAATTCACAAAGCTATCAAGTGTAAAACAAACTTAAATAAGCTTTCAAATGACATTGAAAGTTTATAGCATTAATATTTCATATATCCTGTACTGCCCAACGTGGTGGAGGCTGGCTCCGTGTAAGTTTAAATTTAATGAAATTAAAGGTAAAAGTTCAGGTCCTCGGTGGCTATGGAGTTGGAAAGCGCAGACATTTCCATTGTCGCAGAAACCGCGCCGTTACGGACAGAAAACCAGCAGAAGGGTCTGGGGTTGAAACGGGACACAAGAGAACGACTGAAAAAGCGCAGGAGCAGCACCCGCCCCGCACAAAGTTGGCGGCGGCGCCGCGCAGGTCCCAACACTTCACGACCTCCCTCCCCGCAGAAAGATGGCAGCCACCTCATCCCGCTCGAGCCCTGTACGGACACCGCCACGCGGTCTCCGAAGCCCACGTGATCTCACGGCGCGCGGAAACCCGACCGCCTCCCTGTAACTCTCGCGATAACGTAGGCGGGCTCAGGGCTGGCCGCGCCTTCCCAATGCGAACCAGCGCGTCCAGACAATGGGTGGCTGAACTATCGCGAGACTGTACCCGCCCCGCCTCTCCGCCCTCCTCCATCATGGCGGCGTCGGTGCAGTCTCCCAATCACCTGCTTGCTGAGAGACGTCGGTCAATCAGAGACGCGTCCAAGGCACCGCCCCAAATCGTGCTACTCGGTCCCCTATTCGTCACTTCCTCTCCAGTCCCTGCGCAGTCGATAAGGAAACCCGGACGCCGCTGTGGCTTTCTTTTTTTCAAGCGGCCGGGAAGATGGCGGACATTCAGGTGCGAGCTCGGGCCCTCCCGGGCCTCAGAGGCGAGTCCGGGAGAGCGGGACCCCGCGCCCCAGTTGGGGAGTTAATTCCGGGCGCCCCCGATCTCCCGGGGGCTCATTCGGGCAGAGGGCGCGTGCCTGCGTTATCTGCATTAGCGCCTCCTCAGTCCTGGGGGCTCCGCACTGGGAAGTCGTGTACGTTAGATGAGCAGTGGATCCGGGTGGATGTCTTTGTGTCTTGGACAGTAATCCTTCCTGAAAGGTGTCCGAGGTGCCATTCTGCCTCCGGGTTCTAAGCAGTGAATTCTGCAGGCGGCGGGAAGTGTTTGGGAGCGTAAACGCTGAAGTGACCCCGGGCTAGATTTCGGTCTGAATTGGAGGGACATCTGGGGTCAGAGTTCTCGGAGGCGATTCTGGGGCAGGAGACCTGGGGGGGGGGTCCTGGGGGTTCCGGGAAGATCTGCGGCCCGCTCCGGCCTCACCCGCCCCCTCGTCCCCGCAGACGGAGCGAGCCTACCAGAAGCAGCCCACCATCTTCCAAAACAAGAAGAGGGTCCTGCTGGGAGAGACCGGCAAAGAGAAGCTCCCTCGATACTACAAGAACATCGGCCTGGGGTTCAAGACGCCCAAGGAGGTAGGACCCCGGGGAGGAAGAAGGGGACCCGGCTCCGCACATGTGCCGGCCCAGCCGCCCCGCCCACATCCGCGTGTCCCCCGAGGGCTGCTGGGAATTGTAGTTTGTCTCTGAGGCCGCACCCGGCTGTTCTTTCCAGGAACTAGCTACTCAAGCCTTCCTTTTAAAAATATATATTTTTATCGATTTCAGAGATGAAGGGAGAGAGAGAAACATCATTGATGAGAGAGAATCGTTGATCAGCTGCCTTCTGCATGCCCCTTCCGGGCAGGGGCGGGGATCGAGGCCGCAACCGGGGCATGTGCTGGAATCGAACCTGGGACCCTTTAGTCTGCAGGCCGACGCTCTATCCACTGAGCCAAGCCGGCTAGGGCCTTATTTTTTATTTTTTAAAATCTTTATTGTTGAGAGTATTATAGACACCCCCCCCCCCCCCCCCAAGCCTTACTTCTTTTCCTTATCCCTCCAGGGCATTGAGGGCACCTACATTGACAAGAAATGCCCCTTTACCGGTAACGTCTCCCTCCGAGGGCGCATCTTGTCCGGTAAGTGGGGCCGTTGGGGGGCTTGGGTTCAGATTTCTGGGTCTGAAGGAAGAAGGGCTGGGGACACTCCTGGTTTCTGGGCCCTGGCAGGTGATGTCTGTTTTCACGATGGTCTTCAGATGCCGGTGACAGGCGCTGCTGAGAAAGCCAGTTGGCAGAACTGATGCCAGAACCAAGGTTTCTTAATGCTGCTCGGCAGCTCCCAGCATGCCCTGGGCTGCCTGAGGCTCCCTTTCCCAAGGAGCCTGACCCACAACCTCCCCTCCCCCAGGCGTGGTGACCAAGATGAAGATGCAGAGGACCATTGTCATCCGCCGAGACTACCTCCACTACATCCGGAAGTACAACCGCTTCGAGAAGCGCCACAAGAACATGTCAGTGCACCTGTCCCCCTGCTTCAGGTGAGCACTGTGGGCGGCAACCCGGGCCAGCCCCCCTGCCCAGCGGAGAGGAGGGGGTGGGCTGCACTCAGGTCTGAGTGACATGGGAGGCAGTAAACTAAGGCCGGCGGGGTGGGGAGGCTGCTGCAAGTGAGCCTCCAGGTTTCCGTAAAAGTGGAGGTGTGTTTGGAGCATCTTCTGTACAGTATTGGGCCTGGTGCCTCGCTCAGAGCTTGTGCTCAGTCAATAATGACAGAGGGCGGCTGGAACTGGAAACTGAAGCTTGGCTGTGGCCTCGGCCTGGTGACCACAAAGGAGGCTCCCAAGGGGCAGCCTCACCCCCCTGTCCCCCCTGTAACATACACGCTGCCCCTCCATAGAGATGTGCAGATCGGCGACATCGTCACCGTGGGTGAGTGCCGCCCGCTGAGCAAGACTGTGCGCTTCAACGTGCTCAAGGTCACCAAGGCCGCCGGCACCAAGAAGCAGTTCCAGAAGTTCTGAGCTGGCTACCTGCCCCACCCCAACCAAATAAAGTTATTTTCTCAGTCACAGCCGGGCTCCGGGTGTCTGTGGCCTCTCCAGAGGGAGGTATGTCCCTGGGGATGGAGCAGGTTGACGAACGACGGGTTCTTTTTTACCCTCTGGGGCGTGAGGGTGGGAATGGGGACCAGATCCCGCCTCCTGTCCTGTCTCTGGGTGAAGACGCCTGTATTAAAGATGCTGCACTTCTCCGTCTCCTTTGGTCCTTGTCACCTTCTACCTGTTGTTGAGCTGCTGTCTCACCCTGCATCCCCCACTTCCCCCCAACCCGCCCCCGCCCCTGTGTCCCTGGGGAGGAAGTGAGGGAGGGCGGGGGCTCCTGGGTTCTTGGGCCCTTTCTGGCCTCCTTGGGGAGAGGGATGAAGCAGCAGCCGCAATCTGGGCCTTGACCTCAACCTGGCCTTTCTCTTCTGTCTCCTGAGTCGGGGAGCAAGTCACTCCTGAGTGGGGGAGCCCCCTTCCCCAAGTGGGCACCATGCCCCTTTGCAGATGAGCAAGCTCCTCTGAGGGGCAGGTTCTTTGCTTAGCATCCCAGTGCCTGAGCCCCAGGTCTCAGATTCTGGAAACTTCTTAGCCTGAAAGTCCAAGTAAGGACATTGGTCTTGAGGGCAAGTTGCATAGCAAGGCTGGGCTGGAGCGCAACTCGGCAGCGCAGGGCCACAGGCTGCTCAGGCTGGTTAGAGAGCCCCTGGAGGTGGGGCTGGGAGAGGAGAACCGGGAGGTGGGGAGAAACAGGCAGTCATGCAAATTCAGGGAAAGATTGCTGATGGCCAGAGAACGGGAGGTGGGAGGGGTTGGCTGTTGGTAACAGCAGAACGAGATCTGTTAGAAGCAAAAAAAAAAAAAACGGGAAAAGGAACCTTGAGTGTCACACAGAAACAAGGAGAGACCACAGAGGGTTCAGCTGGACACAACAGGCCAGACCACGGGTGGGGACAGACTCAGATTTCAGAAATGGGGCAGAGTTCAGAGGAGAAAGAACAAGGGGGGAGAGACCCTCACCCACGCAGACGTGGAGACCTGGAGTAGAAGGCACGGCTGGAGACTGGCTTCGCCCCTCGGGGCCGGCGCTGCTGGGGTCCCCAGGTCCCTGCCCCCCATGCCTGTACCAGGGACTGGCACACCATGGTACAGGGTTGGGAGACGGGGCCTTGAGGAGAGGAGCCCGCTCGCCCAGGGAAGCCGCCCCGGGATCAGCCCGGCTCTGGCTTTTACCCGGCGAGGGCGGGGATTCCTGCCAGAGGAAGTGGGGCCACATCAAAGAGGGCAGGAAGGGGCAGGGACAGGTCACAAGGGGGCACCGCCCGCATTTCAGCCTGCAAGCCCGCCCCACCCCTGCTGGAGGGCTGGGGACCCTGAGGGGCTGAGGCTGCTGGGGAGCCCCCTCCCCCTGCAGGTGCTTCCGTTCAGGGTGGGGCCTCCATGTTTACAACAACAACAGCCCGGCTCCCCTGTTTCCTCCCAGCAGCGGTCGTTGGGGCGTCTCCTGGCACCCCACCATGTCAGGCTGCCTAGTCACGGGTGGGGCGGGCGCCTGGTGTGCACTGGGGGACGCCTCTGGTGGGCCTGTGGGTCACAAAGACCCAGAAGAGAACTCTGGGCGCGACAGTTCTCTTGCGTGAGGAGTGGGACCGCCCTGGGGCAGCTGGCGATGCAATTCCTACCTTGGATCACAACTTGGGTGCCTCTGCCCTCTGCCCACCGCCCTCGCCTCCCTCCCTCCGCCTGCCTGTGCCCACCAGCCCGGCCCCTCCTCTGAGCCCGTGCCCCGGCTGTGTCCTGCACCTGGAGCACTACCCCAGGTTCCCCCTGCCTCCTGCCCCGACCCCGCCCCGACTCCGTAGTCTCTAAAGCTCACTAACCTCTTTCCACTTGGCCAAACCTCCGACCCTCCAATCACCCTTCCCTGCTTTGTCTACGTGGACAGGTAAGTCCTATTTCTGATCTATTCGTGGTTTTATTGTACAAGTTCTATACTACGTTGCCTGTTTATCTGTTGAGCACCGGAATCCAAGCTCCGAGAGGGCAGGAATGCCTGCATCCCCAGGGCGTGGAGTAGGTTGTGACTGCTCCATACACGTTTAGGTGCATGAGTGAATGACTTTTGAACTTAAATCCCCACCTTCTCATAGGGTGGGTTTGAACAAGACACAGAGAATAACAGGAAGCAGTGAACTGGGGCAGAAACCTCCAAACAAACATTAAGACCACAGGCCCTGCTCTGAATTCCAGCCCTGCTGCTCGTCAGCTGCGTGACCTTGCGCAGGCGACCCCCCCGCCAACCACAGAGCCTCAGTTGCCTAATCTGTAAAATGGGTTCGTCCACCCTGCCCGCATTGGGAGGGTGAACTGTGGTCACGTGTGTTAATAGGGTGGAACCAGTTCGGTAAGTGATATTAGGGAAGTAACTGCCCAAGCCCGGAGTCTGTTAGAGAAGGGGGGGCGGGGGTACTCGGTATAGCCGGCCCTGGGCCCTTTGTTCCTTGGGGGCAGGTCCCAGGACAAGAGTCTTTGGCAGGTGGCCCCCGAGGTATGACGTGGTGTGGAATCCTGGGCCTGTCACGGGATCTTGAGTTTGTTTTCGCATGCTTCTGGAATGTTCTGTTGCATACCTCTAATAGGAGGCCCCAGTAACAGGGAAATTAGCTCCAGGCAGTTTCATAGCAGGGCCCTGGGTTTACAAGGACAACAGGTGTCAGGCCCATGACCTGAAAACAGGGCAGATCGGGTGTGTCCTGATGTAGGCGGCCCCGCAGCTCTTGTCGCGGCCACAGGAGAACCTGGCCGGCCACCCTGGCCACGCTGTTGCAGCCCGTGGTGTCTTATGGGAGCAGGACCCAGCGATGTGGATTGTGTTGGGACCTCGGGTCCTGTAACAGGACCTGCTGGTTGCAGTACCCGGTTACCTTATGGTCCATCGGCTTTATTTGTGTAGCAGGCACCTGCATTCATTGAACTGGTCCCCAGGACTGTGAGGCAATCGAATGGAGTGGCTTCTGTGTGTGTATTTTAGTGTGTGTGTGTGTGTGTGTGTGTGTGTGTTTCAGTGCTGCCCTGAGCCCGCCGTGGGGAAACTGGGGACTAACATTATAGGGGGTCCAGCTTTGTCACTTGTTATAACAGACCTACAGATTGTTTCAGGGGAAGGGGGGTAGTTTCTGCTGGAACGTTCTAGCAGGACATCGACGCCATTCTAGAAGAATTTTAGGGGCATATCAAACCAGCCAGGGCCACTCATTATTGCCTTCGTTCATTCTACAAATACATACAGTGGGGCCTTGACTTACAAGTTTGATTTGTTCCGAGACCGAGCTCGTTAAGGAGCTCGTTAACTCAAATTACTCTATCAACTCAATGCAAAAAGTCGGCCGAGAGACAGCTGGTATCTCAAAAAACTCGTTAGTCGGGACATTCGTAAGTCAAGGCCCCACTGTACTGTGCTGGGGTGTGGGAGGGCATTGAGGGGAGCAGTGTGCCCTGTGCCAAACCTTTGCCTTGCTGAAGCCTCTCTCCCGAGCTAGGCACAATTATCCCCGTTTTACAGGCAAGAAATCAAGGCCTGCCCTGGCCGGTTTGGCTCAATGGATAGAGCATCAGCCTCTGGACTGAAGTCCCAGGTTCGATTCCGGTGAAGGGCACATGCCTGGGTTGCAGGAGGCAGCCAATCAATTATTCCCTCTCATCACTGATGTTTCTCTCTCTTACTCTCCCTTCCTCTCTGAAATAAATAAACATATATTTTTAAAAAAGAAGAAAAGCCGAACCGGTTTGGCTCAGTGGATAGAGCGTCGGCCTGCAGACTCAAGGGTCCCAGGTTCGATTCCGTTCAGGGGCATGTACCTTGGTTGTGGGCACATCCCCAGTGGGGTCGTGCAGGAGGCAGCTGATCGATCTCTCTCATCGATGTTTCTAACTCTCTGTCCCTCTTCCTTCTTCTCTGTGAAAAATCAATAAAATATATTTTTAAAAAAAATAATAAAAATAAAATAAAAAAGAAGAAGAAGAAAAATCAATTCTCACAGAAGCCAGCCTGAAAGAGGCAGGATTTGATTTTGAACTCGGGTGTGATTGCCGCTTGGGCTCGGTAGGGGGCACTGTAGTGTAGCTGCAGTGGGGAGGGGTGGATGGCAAGGTGGCCATGCAGGGCGCACAGCTCAGAGCTGCCCTGCCGTGTATGTCACACAGACCCAGGGCCACGGCGGCTGAGCAGCTGTTCAGTTGGTTGAATACGCTGCTTGAACGGTCTTGAGGTCGGAACAAGGGGCCCCACATTCTCTTTTGGCACGGGGCCCGGCGGACTAGGAACCGGTCCTGCCGTGGGCTTTCTATTGCTTTTGATTGGCCCCTTGGGATGTGATAACAGGACCCCAGGGGATCTGGTGGGCACAGACATCCTTAGAGCAGGACCCTGGGGATGCCAGAGGACACCGCCAGCGATGCTGTGAATGGCCCTGAACACACAGAGGAGCCCGGGGCGCCTGGAAGGGACTCCCAGGGAGCATTCAGGGGCCAGGACCCTCAGGACTTGGGCCCTATCCAGTTTGGCTCAATGAATAAAGTGTCGGTCTGCAGACTGAAGGGCCTCGGGTTTGATTCCAGTCAAGGGCACATGCCCGGGTTGCAGGCTCGATCCCCAGTGAGGGGCGTGCAGGAGGCAGCCGATCAGTGATTTTCTGTCATCATTGATGTTTCAATCTCTCTCTCCCTCTCCCTTCCTCTCTCTGAAATCAATAAAAATATATTTATTTTAAAAAAGGCCACTTGGCAGATGGGATTAAGTTCAGGATCTTGAATTGGGAAAATAATCCTGGATCATCCAGGTGAGACCAACGTCATGACAAGGGTCCTTATAAGAGGAAGTGGAAGGATCAGAGTCTGAGAGACATAAGGAAGGGTGCAGGGTCAGAGAGGAGAGGAGGTGCTGGTGTTGAAGATGGAGGATGGTGCCACTAGCCAAGGGATGCAGGTGGCCTGAGCAGCGGGGAAAGGCAAAGGAAAGGATTCTCCCCTGGAGCTGCCGGAAGGAGCCAGCCCTGTGGACCATGTTGGACTTCTGGTCTCCAGACCTGAGAGGCAATACAACTGTATTGTTTTAAGCCACTTCGTTTGTGGTGCTGGGTTCCGGCAGCCACAGGGCACTGATACACCGATCCCAGGCCGTGTAGATGGATGGCCGCTGAAGCAGGACCCCAAGC